CCTCACACACTCCTCATATACACCTCACACATACTCCTCACACACACCTCAGATTCCTCACACACCTCACACACACCTCACACACACCTCACACACACCTCACACACACCTCACACACACCTCACACATTCCTCACACACACTTCACACACACTTCACATACACCTCACACACACCTCACACACTCCTCACACAACACCTCACACAGTCCTCACACACTCCTCACACACACCTCATATACACCTCACACAGTCCTCACACACACTTCACATACACCTCACACTTCACACACACTTCACACTCCTCACACACACCTCACACTCCTCACACACACACCTCACACACACACCTCACACACACTTCACACACACCTCACACTCCTCACACACACCTCACACTCCTCACACACACCTCATATACACCTCACACATTCCTCACACACACCTCACACAGACTTCGCACATTCCTCACACACTCCTCACACAACACCTCACACAGTCCTCACACACAGTCCTCACACACACACCTCAGACTCCTCATACACACCTCACACACTCCTCACACACACCATACACACTCCCCACACACCTCCATGTGCTCTTCTTTTACACACACTCTTCCGCCTTTACCTTGTCCCAGTCTTTTATTGTTACTCTAAAAAGCAGGTAGAAGGACATTGTATAATTATTACCAAATGTGTCAAGTTCAAAAGAATGATCACATTTCACAAGGAATTAAGAATTAAGAATTACGATTGTTCCCTAAAGTTTTGAGTTTCCTCTGTTCCCTAGCCTGTGGCCAAAATAATTGAAAACTTATCATTATTTAAACTTTTACTTTTAACTTATTATACTTCAGAGCTCAGAGCTCTAAGGTCAGCTGCATGCTCTAATGATAAATGACATGGGCAGAGCTGCCAGGCAGTGGCCAGAAAGAGTCAGGTTAACCCCTAACTCAGTAGTTCCGCTAGCTTCTGCTTCTGCACGATGCACACAATGTCTCTCCTAAGAGTCCCGGTGTTTTAACTTAGTTTTACTAGTATAAGATTTTATCTGTTCTATATTTTCTTATTCATACATTTCCAAAGGAGACCAGGAACCACTCTCCAATGTTGTGCAGAACTTATTTCATAACTTGAATAGCTTTTTCCTTTCTCAGGGCCCCAGTGTCGGCTCTGCTTCATTTTCTTAATTCTTTCAAACTTTCTTTGCAAGTCAAACATTAATCCAAAACTAGCACTGTGTGGTCATTGCGTTGTTTCCAAGATGAGCGCACACAGCATGCACCTGGGCCATTAGGACTGTGCTGCCGTGCTGTGCCCTAGGCCTCAGTTCTTGATTGTTTAAGAATCATCACATCAAGGAACATCTAGTTTCACAGAATTCACCAGAGCAAAAGGAGAAAGAAATAGGAAAGTCAGATATAATAGAATAGTTATGTACACCAAGGCCAACAGAAAAGCAGTCATGCACAGATGAGATCTATACAGCTGTTGCCCAGGGCTAAGGTGAAGAGAAAAGGGAGCAACCGTTTCACAGAGAGCTGCTGTGGGCCTCTGAGATGTCTCTATCCCGGCCTGCTGCGGGCAGTCCCTTATTTCAGATGGCTGGTCCCCCGGAGGGTGTGTCTCCTGCCTCTCAGGGTCCCAGGCACCATCTATGTCATGGTATGCTATGCCCAGCAGCTGAGCCCTGTAAATACTCTGTGTGTGTACTCATGAGTATGCATGGGAGACCAGAGCAGACCAGAGCAGAGCATCGAATGTCTTCCTTTGTCACTGAAACATTGCCTTAGGGTGAGATCTCTCACAGGTTTGTCTTTTCTGCTAGGCAGGTAACCAGCTAGCTCTCAGAGTCCACCTTCTAGTGGATTCAGATCCTTGTGAGGATTCAAACCCAGGTCCCAGTGTCACAGAGCCATCGCCCCAGCCCTCTGGACATAAGTTTTAAAAACATCTAACTCTGAACCTCAGTGCTTTCTGAGTTCTCATCTGCACTGTGACTTAAAGGGGAACCGATACTCTGTTCTTTTTCTCAAATATGGTTGGTCATTGAATCTTTCCTGGGGAGAAACTTACGCTGATATAGTAGAGCTATTTTAATAGGGTATTGTTTGTTTAAACCGTAGCTCTTTCCTCGGGAATTGTCCTTTTTTGTTTGTTTGGACCAAATTTTCAAAAAGTTAGGAAAAGACAACAGCTGGCATGATGGCTCAGCAGGTGCTTGCCTCCAAGCCTGACTGCTGAGTCTGATCCCCAGGACTCACATGTTGGAAGGAAGGCTCTCCCAAGAGTTGTTCTCTGACTCCACACGTGTGCCATGGCATACATCTCCTACCTCCCAACCCCACAAATAAATAAATATAATTTAAATTATCAAAGGAGATTGAGGAGGACAAGCCATTAGGCTGATTAAGGATTTGGACTCTATGTTGTGCGTATCTGTGAGAACTACTTACACTAACAGTGAGTGGTAGAGAGCCCTGTGCCTCCCCACAGCTGGCCATCTGTGTTGTCACTGTGGACCATTGGGTCACCGTGTGCCACAGCAGATGGAGGGAGCGGGCAGGGAGGACTGTGATTGTGTCCCTCAGTCGTCCTTGTCTCTGGGGTTGAATAAAGAGTGAAGTAATATGCACGAAGTCACCAAAAAGCACTTATGTGTGCAGAGAGGACTTTCCATAGAGTCTAGGCTGGCTTTGAACCTGTGGCCCTCATGCCTCAGCCTTCTAAGCACTGGATTTAAAGCATGTGCCACTTGCTTGCTAAACCAGTACCGTTTAAGACAGCTGGTTCACCTCGTCGCCCAACCTTGCCGTTTCCAGTTTTGTAGCTAGAGCGTCTCAGCTAGAGTGTCTTCTTTCTCAGTGTAGGTCTCTGCTTTTGCCATAATTACTCATTGTCTCCAAACTCAGATTTCCTCCTTCATCTGAGAATTAGTGCCACTTTCCCCACCTGATGCACCGGCTGGGACCCTGTACTGACTGAGTTCAGCCAATCATATCATCACCCCCCCAACCACCATACGTTTACTAGGGAACAATGTATCCTTGTTCTGAACATCTGCAAGGATGAAGTGCCCTGTTTCTTGTGTAGGATTATTACCATATCATTGGCATATTTGAAAAAACAGAGGTACCTATAGTTTATCACAACTTTGCTGTGATAGCTCTTTATCCCCTGAGCTCAGCCAGCTTCCTGCTTACTCAGCCACAGGACCTGATCCCACTCAGCACACCCAAACCAGGAAGCACACTTCTGTGAGAGAGACTTGTGAGGTCCTGCTGACTTAGAGCCCAGCCAGGTGGAGCCTCCTTCAAAAAGTGACAAGTGAAACGGTTCCTCCCTGGGCACTGGGTTTACTGCTGAGGAGCAGGCGTAACAACCAGGCCAGCTGACCTGGAGGAAAGGGATCACCTGCCCCTTCCTGCTGGGCCCTTCTCTCAGGTTGATTGGAAACAACTCCCTTCCTTCATGTACCTTATAGTTGTTACTTCAAGATGTGTCAGGTGAGCTAATTTCATTTGGCACCAACCAGCTTGGAATTAATGTCAATTAGAAAGTCATGTGTGTGTGTGTTTGTTGTCAAAGAAAAGCAAAGGATTCTAACAGATTTGCAACAGTAAGGTTACAGTGCCTGTCAGGGCACCTTGGAATGTCTGGTGGTGACTTCCCTCATGTTGATGCTGAGTAAGAGCTGACTCATTCCTGAAAGCGATAGAAGCAGAGCTTCGTTGTCTAAACTTAATCTGTCCTTCCTTAAGGTGACTTAGCGATAAC